CGCTGGTCCGAATAATGGCTTAACTGGCATAGCTCGCCTTTCGGGCGGCCTAACAACGGCACGCCAAACACGTATGAACAGTCTTGCCGCCGGTAGTATTACCCAACTGGCTGGTCTCGGTTTGTCAAGCCAAGACCTACTTGTGGACATAGAGAACGCTGAGCATGTCCCGAGCAGGGATCGCCCTGGAGCCGGGATGGCGAGCAGTGCTGGCGCTTCAATGGACGCTGATGACAATGACGCCGATGCTGAGGCGGACACTGAGGCTGAACCGGATCCGGACCAGTATGTAGACCCTGCTGATCTGGGAGACTATGGTAAACCACAAGAGCTGGATTATCCTGTCAGTCCTGGACCAACCGAAAGCGTCGCTCATTGCCCTACTGAAAATCAAATTGCAGACCACAATAGTAGGGTTCCCCAGATTGGTAGGCAAGGTAATGCTGAGTCGACTACTCTTAAGCCAGATGTAAAGGAGACTCGTCCATCCCCCTTAAAAAGTTTAACCGATCCTAGCGTAGTTGAACCTCAGCAAATGCAGGCACGAGAGGAGCAGGACGAAAGTCGTAACTGTGCGCAGGTGGGAGAAGCTTTTGCTGGTCATCTAAATCCATTGATCGGAGCTCAGCAGACCTCACTACGAGAGACTAGCCCTATGGCTCTCGGTTCCTCTGCTGATCGACTTGAGCCTGTACCAATAACTAGTCTTATCTGTGCTATACAGCCCGGAGGCGCTGCTTCTGCATCTAACAATAGCATGACAACGCAGGAACCGAAGCCAAATGCGGTAGATGGCCTCTACGATAAGCATAGTCCATTGGATAACTCTACTCCTGTCTTTTTACATCCGGATTCGAACAGCCCTGAACTGCAAAGCGCTTCCAATGCAGCACTTCGCTTTCAGGGGCAATCTCGTCTATCTGGGCCAGGACCTAACGACATACAATCTGCCTTCTCTGCTGCCATAACAACAACTGCTATAACAAATGCAGCTACTTTGATTACGACTACAACAAGCCCTGAATCATCTTTTAATCCATTGGTCCTTTCTCATGTATCTCATGATCCACAAGTTCTTCCAGCCTATTTACCAGAGGATGCAATTCGTGGTCATTCGGATTATTTACAGCAGGCTCACCACTCTCACCAGAGACTCAAATCACAACAGTCTCATCTGCGTTGCCAGCGAGCCTGCTCTCCAGGTCCAATCTCTGGCGACACTGACGCCTGCACTCGGCATGAGACTCGTCGTTCTGATAGGGATGATGGTGAGGTGAATAGACAGAATGAGGAGGCACTAGTTCATTCACGTCGGCGACGAATCCTGACTACCTCCGTTATCAAAGGCGTTGAGACCGCAGTACATCTTGGTAGTTGGCGCCGCGGAATGCGTCATATGTTGGGTGATTCTCTCGGATTCCAGCGTGCTGTCCTGGCTGCCAGGGGTGCACTTAATCAGCACAAGGTGATACATCTATTTACGAACTGTTATAAGTAATTTATTTTTGCACATATCTGGTATTACTTTTTATTATTCATCTATTTGCTTCCAATTTGGCATGCTTTATTGATTACTAGCCTATCTGTATTTTTGATTTTATACACTAATGTGTATGAGTTAGGTTGTGCTTTTCAATCCAACTTTATTTGAAACAGACTTTCGATCCAACCCACCAGTATTTATCATATAGAGTTGAGGTAGTAATTTTATATGATCGGAACTAGAAGCAAACCTCATTCTTTTTATGCGTATTCCTTTGCCATTTGCTTCATTTGTAATGAAATTCTTCGCTTCCACAGTTTAATTGATAAATTAAAATTGAGTTTACAGGCATAAACATCATTATTGACATGATAAGCAGATCAACCAGTTCGGCAATTAAATAATAAATATGGCAAAGCCGGGATTCATGAATAAGACCATGTTGTCGCTTACTTTGTACAATATTATTGATTTTATTCAGCTGTATAACAATTTTTCATCTCCTATACATTGTTGACTGACGCATCTTGATCCACTTATTTACGATGCACACAACTTGATAATTAACCTACTTTATTTCCCTTTAGGTCATCAGCAGTTCTCTCCAACTCCATCAGACTGCCGAACTCGGCCTTGCCCTTGGATCCGAAATGGGATGCTTGAAACCAACCCCAATGCCTCGTCAGACACGACATCCTATCATATCAAGACCACCAACTTCCACTGGGCCAATATCTTCATCGGCAGTGGCCATTCCTACCACTGCATCAATTCCCATCTCCATGGCCCCCAAAGCCACAATGAATGACTACGAGTCCTCTTGTCACAATAGGTACTCTTTTCAAGCCTCTTCCTCTGATGCATCTGCTCCCGGAGATCTTGCCACTACTGAAAACGGCAATAATCACGCTGCGTCTAAACAGTTGGCAAGTTGCTGCGCTTCACAACATATCCCACCTCGCATATCGGATGCAGGTAACTACTCAGGCATAGTGCCTGATATTGAGTCTTCGCAGCCTAGTGTTCCTACCTCTGTCTCACAGGTTAGCCCTCCAATTCGTCGGAATGCAGCTGGACTCGTCAGTCTATCGGGAAAGCGGATTACAAATTCTGAGACTCTGCTTGGTGCCTCTTCTACCTGCGGCAACGTAGCACCCACTTCGCATCGTGCTTCCCGAGTATCTTTGCATCTGCGCAACTCATTCGGCTTGTTCTCTCCGCCCAATACAGCACATGGCATCTCTAGAGGTTTAATTAATACCAAAGCTTTCAGAAAATCTGGGAACTTTTCTAGTACTGCCGGCTCCATCGCCACCACAATCCCACCTACTCCTGGTTCCAGTAACCTTAACAACAACAATAACATCTCAGGCTCGCGGTCTCAGCGGGCTGTCTGGTTTCGTCCGCCTGCTAATATGTCCACTGCCTCTGCCGTTTTGCCTTCGTCATCTGGAATGCCTGCAGTATCTGTTGGCCTTTTACGCCACACTCAAATAAACAACAATAATGGTAGCAGTGATAGTGGTCATATTAATCATTTTCCTCGAGCTCGACTGTCCGGCGCGCGCTCATGTCATTTTGCTTGGATGTCGAGTGGACCTGCGAGTGATATGAGCGCTTCTATGGATGGCGATGATGACAACTTTGAAGACGACGTTGATGATGGATACGCCATTGTTTTATCTGGAGACGCTGAGGAACTTGGAGAAAAAGATAAGCGTTGGAAAGAACGAAGGGAGAGACGGAGGCTGAGTGCGCAGGTAAGAGCTGATACTCTGGAGGCTGTTACTGACACTCCTGATGAGGCTCATGCTATAAGACATCCCGAGGCATCCCAAGACTTCCGAAACTCTGCCGAGAATTATCGTCCACTTAACAACAACTTCCTAACCAGCTCTTGCACTGACTCTTTAAATACTAGATGGCACCCATCCTTGCTGATGGCTGTCGGTGGTTCGGGACATTTTTCGCGTTGGAGGCGACGTGTCGACCGATCGCTAGGGTATTTTCATACTCCAGAACAGCAGCAGGGATCCTTCAGACTGCAGCAAAAGTTGCATGAGGCTGTAACGCGTCGATTACAAGAGCCGGCACCAAGCGGCAGAGTGTCAACTCCAGAGAGTTGTTCTGCTATTGCTCCCAATCCACCTTCAAACCAGTCTTCTTCTAGTCTGGGCTCTTCTACCAAAACAAGTCTCTTCACCGACCATCGCAATATCCATCTGCGACAAAGATGGGCTCGATCGTTTCGCACAAGACTACCTGGATCTCCGCCAAATGAATCTGGGCCCAGCAGTATTGGCCATAGCAATAACAACAGCAACGACAGTAGCAGAAGCAATAGCAACAGCAGCATTTGTGATGGCGATGCTGAAGCCATCTACAATGTGGCCACTGTTGGAAACAAACGAGATGGTATCAATACTTACTCTGTGCTAGACGATATGCAAGACTGTCCTTTGTCTCGTCAATTCCCTGAAGCTCGTATCACTCAGACACCGGATGAGGCTTCAGCTCAAACGGATTCTTCCTGCCTCTTTTCAGTGGCAGGATCCACGCGTCTTGTGCCTCGACCACCCAGAAACCCAGCGCCAAGTGTCTCGTTTGCTCTTGATGCACGCCGAAGACGTTACAGACCTAGTGCAACCACCGAGGCCTCTTCTACTCAGAACACGTCTGCTACGATCTTCCATGCCCTGATAACAGATTTAGATGACAAGCCACCGATGGCACCTCTAGTTCAGTCGCCTAGGCCTAATTATGGCATAGCCTCCTACGAGGATGATGGATTTGGAGACTTTGAGGGAGATGAAGAGGAGGAAGTTGATATCGATACCGGTAACAAGACTAAGAGAGCGACGCTTAATTCTTATGTATCTTCTCGAAGCACTAATGGTGGACGTTTCGGTCCTCATTCAGCCTCCGACATGGCTGCTCAATTTCTTTCTACCCGACCTAGACTCCCAGCTTCCACGCAAGACTCCACCCCAAACCAATCACAAGTTGTTTATACTTCTCAGAAAGAATTGGACTGCTCTTCTCAGATTCTATATACTCGACCTGAGCTCTCTCATCCTTCCCCGGAACTTCTAGTTCAAAAGTCGATACCCATTATCTTTCCGTCCGTGCGACAGAGACCATTTCGCCTAGTCACGTCCGGCAACGTGACGCCAACTGGGTGCTGTCCTCGAGTTCCTGTTAGGTCTGCGCCATTTGCAAAATCGGAAGAAACAACCGAAGAAGAAAAGGGAGACGACGGCGACAATGTTGAAGCAGAGGATGAACGGGAAGGTTCAGCCTCGATCTCAAGAGACTCAAATCGTATTCCTGATCGGTTGTTGACAGTTCGTTCCGAGGCCAATCAAAGAATCCATTCTCCTATCGCAGGTCAATCTCAAGGTTCTGTCTCAGTACCTGTTGTTCTGTCGACTGACTTCCAGCATTTGGAGAAGGCAGTTCTTAGCGCCTCGTGAGCGAGGAAATCTTAATGCTTTCGATTAGGTTGTATTTTAAAGTCTTTCGGCATTCTGCCCTAATTATATTTATATATATTTATATATATATATATATGCATTTACCTTTCCGAATATGATGTTCTGCTCCTTATCTGGCTGCTTTTCGTGGAGAAATATTTTCTTGTTATTGCGGCGACATCCTTGAATCCTTTATTGTCTCAAACTATACATTAAGTACATTTAACTGCGTAGAAAGATGAATCCCATTTTGTTATTACCAAAACATTTTTTTATTCTAGTCAATACTCTCAAGCTTAAGAGATCTTCTTTTTCCTACACTACAATTTTTACCGAGCTTATGATCAACAGATTTGCTTGGCTTTTGTCTGAAAGAATAAACTTTTTAGCACGTGTGCTATGAACGTCAGGACATATTTGTACACTGAGTGCATACCTTACCTGTGCTTATGTATTTAGGCAATGCTAGGCATGATGATATCACATGCATAAAAAATTGGGCAAGCAATAATCTTCCTAAGTCCTCGCTTAAATTCACAGTGATTCCCATTAATTGAATAAATGAGACATATTAATCGATAGATAGCTACAATTTGTCAATGACTCGTTTGAGCTTGCCACTTGCTTCTCCTTAATTTACACAGTAAACTTATCAAGTATCCTTTATATCTGGGTTCACTTTTATTATTT